GAGAAACTCCGGTCCGTTTCCCGGCAGCTTGCTGCCCAGCGTGTCCGGGGGCGAGTCTTTTTTGCCGGATTTGGGTTGGTTAAGCCGTAAAGCCCGGGTCAGCTCTTACTCCACAGGTTCTGCTTATTGGGGAATTCTTCTTGGACATGTTCTCTGATGGCCGCACTGAAAATTTTGCTCTGTTGAGGGTTGCAGGTTCAATTTCTCGTAACTTTGTTCTCATTTCTTTTTGATACTGATTTCTCTGCTTCAAAATTTCACCAAGCTAAAAGCATATCAGTTGTGATTGATAAGTTGCTGATGTTTAAAATTGTATCTAATAATACCCATTACTAGTTCACTCTTACTAAACCTGTATTTGGGTGCTAACTATTCTAAAGATTTGCTGGGGCAGACAGAACCTGAATTCAGATGTTGGTGAGCAGTGTTGATGGCTTGAGTACAGGGTTTCTCCTCACTGTACATAGTGATTGCAAGTATACCTGCTCTGTATGCTGGCAATTAAATGCCACTGGGTTTGAGATGGGAGATAGGATGGCAGAGCCAGTGTGGTGCCACATCTGATGTAGTCAGCCATGCTTCTCTCATGTGCTGATTGGCCCAGGATAAGTACTGCGAGGGTGCTGCTATCTTGCTTCTGGAGATAGCAGGGACTAATTCGGGGTTCTCTGACCAGCGTTCTGTTGAGCTGGGGTTCTCTGACCCTGTACCACTATCTACTGCTTTCAGATCTTCCTATACAGAGAAGACCAGGCCTCTGGAGTAAACAACTGGGGAAAAAAGACAAGAGCCCAAGTATGGCTTTTCAGACACTAGTGTAATACTCTTCTGCCTTCCCGTAGAGAGTCAGAGAGGGGATCTTCATCTGTGCAAGTTAAAGGCTACCTGGGAAATGGTGACAGCAGTGGGGACAAGATCTGTGCGTACCAGTTATACCGTCCCCATTGACACTGTGACATTCCCTTTATCTGTCCCCTGCTGGGACTGGGGAGCAAAATGGGAATGCTGCTGGATTTTCAGAATGAAGCACTAACTGTTAGAATTATTTCCTATTTGCAACTAAGATACTTTACTTTATAAAGTGTATAGAGTGAGGTTTGTGAAAAAAAAGAAATTCTTACGAATAAATACAAAACCAGACAGAACTAGTCGTGTATAAGGGTAAAACCAGATTGTATGCTGGGCAACCAGTGCAGTCGTTCCCCTTCCACTCTTGTGCTGCACCTTCATCCTATAAATCCACTTTCTGCTTGTTGCATTCATTTGTTGCACCATATTTTAAGTTAGCCTCTGGCACTGCAATTGAATGATTCAGGTACCTTATTCTCATCAAAGTCAAAAAAGCTTCTGGTGACTGGGAGGGTTTTTCCCTTATGCACAGATCTAGGTATTAGTTTTCTAGGAAGAGAACTGGCGTAATATAGCTGAAAGTGCTTCCTCAAGGCTTCTGGGGTGGGGACACTGGAGAGCAGATGGAACTTCTTTCTCGTGCTCTGCTGCAGCAGAGCAATTGCTTAAATGTTTCAGCCTTAGGCATTATAAAATGGAGAGTACAAATTGTCTTTATCTGTCTTTTGAGAAAGAGACGGTGGTTGTGCTGTGATGGCACAGCAGCCAAACTCATTCAGATAAAGAATTACTCGCGGTTCTTAAATGCTTGCAAGAAAGAGTAAGCTTTCTTATCCTATCATATATATATACGTACATACCTCATATTTTAAGACACCGCTTACTCGTTTCTCTGTGTTCTATTACATTTTCTGGCTAATATATATTGGTATCTTATCACTACCACAATTCTGAATGTGTATAATACTTCCTTACGCCAAAATGAGGACGTGTTAACGCTCTCATCGGGTCAGCGGTAAGTCTGACGTTCTGCTCGCTGCCGCCCCGCCGTGACGGTTCCCGGCTCGCTCCGCTCCCTCCCTCTCGCCGCCGGGAAGCGGGGACGGCCCCCGCCACCCGTGCTGCTCCAGCGGTAGGAAAGGAGGTGCTCTCTCCCTCGCCACTGAAGTAGCAACGCAGCAGTGAGCTCAGTCAAGCATTCCAACGAAGTCATAGGTTCTCTATGCAACGTTAATTATTAAAACTTTGTTTTTAATGGATTGGAAGGGTGACTAACAGTGCCCAAATGGTAGGACTTACGAATTAAGTTTATAGTAGAAAAGGTCCTTTGCCAGTTAAAAAGAAATAGGTAAGAGCTGAAGGCTTTGACAAAAAATTATTATAATGCAAGTTTGGTCTCAGCTGTGGCAAATGAATGTACTTCTAGGATAGAAAATTTGCAGTTGACAGTAGAATTAACAGAAACTTAAGCTGATTGATCAGAGATGGTGCTGTTCCACAGAAACACATCATATCTCTCAGGTTGCTTCTTAGTTTCACTATGAAGAATATATCCATAAATCCCATAACATACACATTTCAATGTCAGAGCACAGAGATTTTAAGAACTAAAGAAAACAGTGTCCTTCAGAGATTAAATGTAAGATGTTAGATTACTTGAGAAGATTTATTTTAAAATTTAGCAAGGTGGATGGAAATATATAGACCAGAAAAGAAGAAATGTGAATTAATTCAAATTTCTGATTTGAATCACGTTGATTATGTTTTAGTATTTGTTCACAGCTATTGTTTCCATGTATGCTGGATAATATCTGTGTCAGACATACGGCCTATGCAGAAGACCATATGGCTGATATGGGCCAAAGGTCAAAAGGTTGAAGGTCAAGTTAAAGGTTAAAAGGTCAAAATACAGTTTAAAGGTCAAAACCTTGACTCCCAGTATCTGGGAGAATAGGGAATGGTAATCTACCTTCCCTATTCATTGAGGAATGGCTGTACAATTGCTCCAGACTGACTGCTGCAGTGGAATTCCTTACTTAACTCTTTTGAATCATGTTGTAATAAAGGGAAGAGTAGGGAGCACAGAGAGCCAAATTCAGTCACAGTGAAGAAAAGTAATGTATTAATGGTAATTGGAAGGATTAAAACCACTGACAGTCTCAGGCTCCTGAGCTGTTCCTCTGTTTTGTAATTATGCATCTTTTAGTGAAAGAGGTTGGTGCACTGCTCCTTAGCATCCAATTTTATCTTGTATAGTTCAGCTGAAGGGGTTGGGTTAAGTATTAGTTAAAGAAACTGTGCCAGAATGTACAGGCTCTGAAAGAAAGAACAGAAGAGGCAGTTGGAAATGTAAAAATGAAGAACAGGAAGAAGTGAACTAAGAAACTAGAAAAATAGGATTTTTGCTCCATAGTTTAGAAATAACCAAGATGGCGGTGTCTGATCTACTGTTGATTCATTGTCATAAACTATGTGAGAGAACAGAAGTTACCAGATGGTCTGAGTCAAAGACCATGCAGAAACATATTTTTCTTTTTAGGTAAGTTTGAAAAGCAGAAAAGGAATTCTGGGTGGTTTAAGGCTCATGATGAGTTTGCTGTAAAATGACAAGGATGGTATCTACAGAGAACTGCACCAGGACAGTGATTGATTTTGGGGGGCTTGAGAGGTGATGAAGCAAGTCTTTCACTGCCCACTGCATTTGCTGGAAGGTGCAGCAGGACAGAACACTGATTGAAAGTTTGGGTTGATAATTTATCTTATGTTAATGTTATCTTTGCATGTGCTTGGCAGTGGGTTGAGGAGGCATTTCTCTCAGAGAAAAGAATGGATTGCCTGTTCTTCCTTGTCTCTGCTTATCAATTACTGATAACTGTGCTTCAGTTACTGATAATAATACCTCTTTGTCTTATTAGGAAGCTCCCCTTGGTAAGGTCGATAACTTCATTGGAAAGAAAATGTCTCTTTACAGCATATTATTGAATTCCTGTTTTGGTTATGATGTTTTATAAGTAAGCAGGTGTTAAGAAACAGATTTTGTGTAGTATTGGAGAGTACCACGTTTGGCCCAGAAAGCACTGTGGTACTGTGTGTGGTGTATTTTAGCTCCCTCTAAAAAACTAAAGGTCCTCCATGTCAGATGCTTTCTGCTCTTCTTCAGTATTTTCCTACAGAACTGAGAAATTGTGAGGGAAATGCAGTATCAATGAGCCTTATTTCCCACTACTTCACCACTGGTTAGGATTTTGATATATTATCCTTTTTAACTACATTGCGGTAGCATAAACATTGATGAATTAATAGTTTGTAATTTAAAACTGGCATTATATTCTGTGACTTCCATTATATTGTACAGTGTTCCTCTTCTGACTACTTTGCAGAGGAATGCAAGCTTCAAAGAATAAAAATACAGAAGAGGCAGAACCATTCTACAGGCTTTCAGTGCCAAAGCAGAAGACCAGTTCTGAGATTATAAATGAAGCCAGAAATGTTCTACGAACAGTAAGAACTCGGAGACCGTTTACACCTACAGAGGATCAAAGGAAACTTTTTGGATCTGGATCCTTAGGAGCTCCTCAAAATAGACCCCCTTCAGTTTTTAGGTACTGTGGCTTTAAGATTTTTTAAATATCCTTTAGCAGCAAGAGATTTGATTCTGTAATTATGTTTCTGGTGATTTTTTTCCCTGTGTTAATCTGTATTCCTAATCACATCCTTTGCCTTTTTCTAATGATCCTTACTGTTGGTGTTAATCTATATGTCCAGAAGGTGCCTGTGGATTAGAGTTACCAGAGGCAGCCATTACACTAGTTTTGTGTGTGGATAATAGTATAGGAAAATGGTCTCTAACTCATCTTTTTCTTAAGACAATGTATGCTTTTAATTGGGATAGTCTTCAACTTTTCCCTAGAAACTGTGAAAGCTTGCTTATTTCCACATAAACTGTATGCTAGATCTTTTTTCAGAGCTTTCTCAGATCTTTTTAAATATAAAATTGTAGGTCTTGAAGTTTGAAATGCTCATTTTTAAACAAAATTTATACTTCTTCAAAATTATTTCTGCGTGGAGTTTTGTTACATAGCATAATTCACAGTGCTCAATAGATCCATCTCTTGTGACAGAAGAGAAAAAAAAATTATATATTGGGCTTTTTACATCCATCTTCCCAGTCATTTTTTAGCTCTCCTTATATGCCAATTCTGTAATGACTGTAGGGAGAAGATATGAGCTGTATTTGTAATGTTAGATGTCAGGCATGCCAGAAGGGATGCTGAAACATGTTTGAATAGCCATCCAAATAAGTCAGCGTCCATGCTGTTTTCATGGCAGCATGACTTCAGGCACTCAATGTATCTGATATTCCTTACTGCATAGTGTTGTGCCCTTAGAGAAGGCAGGAGCCTGAGAGCGACTTGGCTGTTTGTTGGTGGCCAGGTAATGAGGTCACTCTGGCTGACGTCCATGCTTGTTCTGTCTGCGCTTCTCCTCTGTATGGGATGGAGCGTGCTCATGCCTGCACAAACCTGGGTTTTCTGCCCTGCACTGTTCAGCAGCTTGTGTCAGTTAGCTTGGTCACTTAACCACAGTTGGGTTTGTGCATGAATTTAGGCTTATATTAGAGAACTGTTATAGACGTGAATGAAATAAACTGTATCACGGCAGGTGTGCAGATGATGTAATTATTCTCCCTTGATGCTGCTGAATTCCCAGATATCAAAGTTAAATAGCATTCATGGAAGAAGAGTGATGGTGTAAAAGTGCTCTGTCACTCTTCCTTTCTTCCTCCTTTTCCCCCATATTCATTGGCAAAGGGAAGAAGTATAAAATTTTAAAAAAAGCCACCAAACCAAGTACAAAATACTGGGTCTGCTTTATTCATATTATGTTTAATTTCTTTATGCTAGTCTTCATGCATCCAGTTTTGATTTGGCTGAATCAAGACCAGTGTCTGGTGTTCGTCTTAGCCCACTGGATCATGTGAGTACTCTGGAAATAACTCTGCAATACTGACATAAAAATATGTGTTATCAGTAGTGTTAGGAAAAGATATGGTTTAAATAGGTTGGGGAGAAATGGAAGCCTGTTGTAATATTAGTCTGAGACTTATAGTGTCAGTTTTGTCATTTTTTTTCCCCAAAATAAACCTGAAAACAACTTAAACTATTTAAATATTGCTATATTGCATTATAATTCTAAGTGACATTAACAAGAATCAGAAGACAGATACTTGAGTCAGCTTTCTTGTGTAAGATTACTAAAATAGAAAAAGGTCATGAGCATCAACATGAGCAAGCAATGTGCCCCTGCTGCTAAGAAGGTGACTAATGGTATCCTGGGCTGCATTAGGAGGAGTGTTGCCAGCAGATTGAGGGAAGTGATCCTTCCCCTCTACTCAGCACTGGTAAGGACATACCTGGAGTGCTAGGTCCCATTTTGGGCTCCCCAGTACAAGAGAGACATGGAGCAACTGGAGAGAGTCCAATGAGGGGCCACAAAGATGATGAAGGGACTGGAGCATCTCTCCTATGAGAAAAGGCTGAGAGAGCTGGGACTGTTCAGCCTGGAGAAGAGAAGGCTCAGGGGGCAATCTTACCAATGTATATGTATATCTGAAGGGAGGGTGCAAAGAGGACAGTTCCAGGCTCTTTTCAGTGACAGAACCAGAGGCAGTGGGGACAAACTGAAACAGAGGAGGTTCCCTCTGAACTTCAGGAAACGCTTTTTTGTGAGGATGACGAAGCCCTGGCACAGGTTCCCCAGAGAGGTTGCGGAGTTTCCATCCTTGGAGATCTTCAAAAGCTGCCTGGACATGGTCCTGGGCAACCATCTCTAGGTGGCCCTACTTGAGCAGAGGGATTGGGCAAGATGACCTCCAGAGGTCCCTGCCAACCTCAACCATTCTGTGGTTCTGTGATCAATAACTTGAAAGTAACTAGGTTGATTGTGCTTTCTATTTGACTTGCACATCTATAAAATGTAATGATTGTAGTTTATTTAAAACACAGATAGAGGTACTTGTAAGAACGCCTTTTTCCCCTTGGTGAAAATTTTGAATTGTTTTCAATTTATAAGTGTACTTTCTCTTTCAGGTTTTTTATATTTAATCTTTAAATATAAGATTAAGTCGTGATCATTTGTTTAGTACCTGAGAGAACAGAGCATGCTAAAACAGTTAAGTATGCTTGCTGTATATATTGTTTCTTCAAGACAGTAATCTAAATGTAGCATTCTTTAGGAAATTAGGGGGGGGAAAAATTCCAAGAAATGTTATACTTCAGTAATTTCAATAAGGTAAGGTGTTTATATTAATAAAATTAAAAAATTCTGACCATACTTATATTTAGATTAAATATATCTACAGTTGGATTTAAATACTGGTGTTAGATTTTCATTATCTTGTGTGTGAGTGAAAAAAACCCTAGAGAAAACTACTGTTAAGACCAATGCAAAACCTGCCTTTTCTGCTTTACCAATGGAGGTAAGTTACTACACTGTAAATGTAGAGCTTGTATTAGTCACGGTGGTTGTGGGGAGTGGGTCTCACCTCTTGGCTATCTTCAGCTAATACCGGGGAGAGCTCTGAAGGATCCGTCTGGAGACTTTCTACTGGATTCTTTGTTGTAAGGAAATTGGAGAGAACCTTGATCTTAGAGAGCAATGCGTTTATGTAGGGCACAAGTGTTTTGTACCAGAGGTTCAGAGGGTTGGTCACATCCTCTAAGATGCAAGATACTGACGTAAAAAAACTTAGAACTTGCATGTTTCTGGATCTGCATGATTTGTCTCAGTGTGATAGGAAGTGGTACATATGATATGAACACATTTGAAGTGTTTTGGAAGTACTACTTTAGTGCTCAAAAACAAATCATAAAGAATAGATGTGCCTCTAGAATTGTTAGCGCAAGTTTCGGCACAACATTTTTTTGACAAATAAGCATACTGCAGATGATGTTAATTTACTAATGATGTTAAAGGAGGGAAATAAATAATTCTGAGTTTCAGTTGCTCTACTTGGGCTAGGTTTTGTTCGTTTTCTGCACCCCTGAATGTTTGCTTTTAAATGGCTTTCTGTGGTGATAACGGTATAGATATCTGGCTTGTTCAGTGGAATGGTATCATTAGATTCTGGATATGAAAACGAACATTTCTTAATGAGCAAACCTATGTAACTTTTATCTGTTCTATTCGAACTTAATGCTTTGTATAAATCATTTGGTTTTCTATTTTTTTTTTTAATTTTTGCTTATATGAAAATGAAATTATCTGTGCTTTTATTAAAACGCCTTCTTTATCTTTGTCACAGAAACCAATACTAGTCACTTTTGCAAAAGATGAAGATTCTTCTGTTTCCCTTCCAAAGCCTCCTGCCGATCCTACAGAGGTTAGAAAAGTCAGCAGTGCTCGGGCACGCTTATTTAGAAGAACTTCTCAGGGAAATTTCCTTTCTGCTAAAACGGTTCCTCCTGATCAGAGTAAGGATGTTTTGATACATATTATTTCCTAGAAAAATAACTGGGTTTTATCTCATTAATTAAATGAATTATTTTATTATATTAAAGGACCTGCATGTCCTTTCAGAGTAAATTTTAAAAAATATTTAAATGGCTTTAAGGCAGTTTTAAAAATGTGATTTCCAAAAATGATACTGGCTTTGACTTCCGAATGTGAGTTGAAAGGTATTCAGGTGCTTTTTTTCCCTATAGATTTCTAGGTAATGGAATTTTTACTGAAAGTTTTCTTCAGTGGGTAAAATTAACATTAAATGTTTAAAGAGATAATGAGATGGCATCATGTAAGGAGATTCCCTGATGGATTATTGAGCATAAAAGGAGGAGTAAAAAGGAATGGTATGTCTTGACAGGCCTCCAATTACATCGTATTTGTTGTTAAGAGTTTCATTAGTGGAGACTTAATAAAGGTCGCTAAATGTGGGATTTAAAAGTAATTTTCTTGCAGATGGGAAATGACTTGACATCTTAGTTTCCTGCACATTGGCTCATAATAAAATGTGCTGGAACTCTGTCTTTAATGAAGACTTACTTAGAATCATAGAATCATAGAAT